GACGTATTGAGCTGCATGTCAAAGGTCACACACAGTAGGTTAGGTAAACTTATGGTAGTATATGAAAGTGTGACGTATTGAGCTGCATGTCAAAGGTCACACACAGTAGGTTAGGTAAACTTATGGTAGTATATGAAAGTGTGACGTATTGAGCTGCATGTCAAAGGTCACACACAGTAGGTTAGGTAAACTTATGGTAGTATATGAAAGTGTGACGTATTGAGCTACATGTCAAAGATCACACGACACAGAGGGTTGGGTAAACTTATGGTAGTATATGAAAGTGTGACGTATTGAGCTGCATGTCAAAGGTCACACACAGTAGGTTAGGTAAACATAACATGGTACACGAAAGTGTGACGTATTAAACAGCATGTCAAAGGTCACAGACAGTAGGTTAGGTAAACATAACATGGTACACGAAAGTGTGACGTATTAAACAGCATGTTAAAGGTCACAGACAGTAGAATAGGTAAACGTGAGCATGTACATGAAAGTGTGACGTATCAAACAGCATGTCAAAGGTCACAGACAGTAGGTTAGGTAAACATAACATGGTACACGAAAGTATGACGTATTAAACAGCATGTTAAAGGTCACAGACAGTAGGTTAGGTAAACCTGAGCATGTACATGATAGTGTGACGTATAAAGCAGTGTGTCAAAGGCCTCACGACACAGTAGGTTATGTAAACGACGAGGATCATGAAGTGTGATGTATTCAGTAGCATGTCAAAGGTCAATAAGAGAGGTATTTCTCTTCAGCAGTATCTGGTATCAGTGCTTTACATCTGGGTGGTGTTGAACTGATTCCAATCAAATATGTTGAAAGGATAGAATTCTAAATCAAGGGTCAATCTTACTTTTTTTGCATGTGTAGTTTAGTAAGTACATTTAAAATGGTACATCATATGTGGACAAAGAGCAGAGAGACGGAAGTCAGCCTGATATACTTAAGATTAATGAACGTTTCCAGGTTCGGTGGTTTTGACTGCATTCGTTCTTAAATCTCCTTATCATTGATGACTCCAGTTTAACTCCAACTGACTAACTTATTTGGTTAGTGCTCACAAAAATGTTATGTCCTTGCACAACTTAGGATTCAGAGTTACTTGGTTTTGGTTTCTTTTTTGCATTATTCAACACGTGGTTTCTAGTACTAAAATTATCACCCAAGTGATGAAGAGGCCAAAAAATTCTAGAAAAAGTTGGTGAGTTTAAATGGCTTTTTAGAAAGTTACGTTTTTAATAACTTAGGAATGATAAATTAAGAAGTTTATCTTAGTCAGTTACTTGTTTTTAAAAGAAAAAAACTACTATTGTTATAAATAACACATTCAATTGAACTAAACTATGCATGCCTATTTAAATATATTTACACATGGCTTGTGTATATCGTATATATACATATATATTATTCATACCTTCGGTGTATAGGACGCAAGCAGATTTTGACATCAAATTTTGGGGTAAAAAAGTGCGTCTTTTACACCGAAAAACACGGTATGTTTGTTATGTTTTTATTAAGCACAAAGCTACATAATAGACTATCTGTACGGTGCCAAACGTGGGTATCGAAACCCTATTTTTAGCATTATAAGCCCCTAAGCTTGTTCCTGAGCAACGAATGGGGTGGGGTGGTGTAGGGTTTGGAATATGCAGATATGTTTGTTATGTTTTGAAGCTGTGCTGTGCCTCCTAAAGGAGTCGAATGTCAGTGTTACCAACCCTCAAGCTTACGCTGTGCCACAGGGGGGACGGGGGTGGTTATGTAATTTCCTATTTAGTTTCTAGATCTTTATCTATCTGTACAATTTGTGCTTATTATAATTAAAAGAAAGTCTCCCCCGATGGCTCGAGCTTATGACGCTAAAATTCAACGTTCGATACCTGTGTTGGACAGAGCAGATATATCATTGCAGCTTTGACTTAAGAGAGTTGTAGGAAAAACAACAGTGATGTTGATTTAAGTGTAAAACATATACTAGTAACTGACTAAGCCAATTTAAGTGTAAAACATATACTAGTAACTGACTAAGACAATTTAAGTGTAAAACATATACTAGTAACTGACTAAGACAATTTAAGTGTAAAACATATACTAGTAACTGACTAAGACAATTTAAGTGTAAAACATATACTAGTAACTGACTAAGACAACTTAAGTGTAAAACATATACTAGTAACTGACTAAGACAACTTAAGTGTAAAACATATACTATAACTATTTATAATGCTCCCTAAATAATAAAAAAATAAATTACAGTGAAAGCAATGAAGATTTTGTAGGTTTTGAACCAAACTAGATAACAGTAAACCTTTTTTTTGATTTACGGTATTTTCTTATTTTGATGTTTTGAGCTCTTTTGTGTTTAGAACAATATATACTAATTTTTAAAGTATCAAATTGAATTTTTGTTCAATAAAAAACTTTCAAATGAAACTGTAGCTTTTTTCCCCCACAACTTTGTCTTAAAAATAAGGGTGCGTCTTATACACCGGTGCGTCTTATATTCTGAAAAATACGATAATCAAAATTTGGGTCATGTATCTAACAGAAAATAGAACCCACTCAACAGAAGAAAACCGTTTTTGCTGTTACAATAAATTAGTCATCGAAGCAATGCGCTGTTTATAGTTGTGTAGCTAATAAAGTTTTAAGTTGCATTTATAAGCACAGTGATTACAAGTCAATGGAAAGGTCTCTATCTATACAAATCACTAAGTTAAATTAAGAATACTGCACATAGTTTTGGTATCCTTATCTAAGAAAGAACATACGATTACTGATTTGGGTTCAGAGAATACTAGTATGATTCCAGGGACTAAAAGACTTATCTTATGAATAGATCTTAAGTGATCTTACTGAAGGTTATAGGATTATGCAGATAACTGACAGAATAAAGTTAT